AATTACCGCCACCTATCTCTCAAATGGACCACTGACACTCTATCTACAATCTCAATTAGGAGTGTCAATGGACCATTTGAGAGATAGGTGGCGGTAATGCACTTATAAGTCTGCGATCCACCGTAAAGCAAGAAGAAGAAGAAGAAGAAGAAGCCTCTTACATTATATGACTGACAGACTGCAACGGTTTGAGTTAAAAATCTTCGTTTGTGTTTTACTGAAGAAACAAAGTCACCTACATCTTGGATGCTAAGCAGATAAACATCAAATTTTCATTTTTGGGTGAACTATCCCTTTAACCATTTAAAGGAAATATGTGCTCTTTAGTTTTTCTGGACCGTTTATGCTACTCTTACAACTCACTGGCTTTCTCACTTATATATTTTTGCTCATGTAGAATATTTTGTATGTTGAACTTGTGTTTTATATCAACAGGGTCAAGCGCTGGAGTCTCTGTGGGAGCAGTGCAGCAGTGACAGTACTGTCGTCCGCTCGGCCTGCTGTGACGCTCTGGTGCTACTCGTAGAACAGGGACATGCAGATCTGCCATATGTGCTCAACACCACCCTTAACCTCCTGCCCTCGGCACGGTATGCTTCTGTCACGCACCTGGCTCTCACAGACTAATGCAGATTGTTATCCCTTGTCATCCCCAATTTAAAAACCTTCAAGTACTTGGGCTGATAAACTGACTCGATGTTGCTTCTTTGACACATTTAAGCCCATATTATAGTGTCGAAGGTGGCTCCAGACACATTTTAAAAATGAGATTTGTTTTTGTGAAACCATGACACACCCTTCACACCCTGTCAAGCCTTGATCGGACTTTATCAGCATTCTCAGGCACTGACCTCTCCCTTGTCTTAACTCTGGAATTAGTCTTTGTTTAAATACATGCAACGTAAAAAAAAAACACTTTTTAGAGACCAATTATGCATCAGAGCATCAAGTGATGTGTACTTTTGATGTTAAAATACTCTCTTCTGTCCCAGTTCAGTATGCAAAGACAACTGTAAGTAAGCATGTCGTAGAATGTATTTATATTTTCCGGAAGAGCTTTAACATTGTGGCTCTGTACATTCATACAGCACAGTTATAAGAGAACTGTAATTATAGCTACCATTTTGAAAAACAAACCAGCAAATGGGGTTTGCTACTAAACTAAAACAAAAACAGCACAGGCATACAAATAGGTGTTTTTGATTTTACTGATGTTTTAAAGCATTTATACATTCAAGCTTGTGAAAATTCTGTAATTCTGCTATCATTAACAGTAGGTGTTTCCAAGATCACACTGACAACTCGTACTGTATACTTGAAGTCGTAAAAGTACTTAAAGGGTCATGAAACCCCCCGTTTCAGCACTGGTTAGTTCTCACCACAGTTTTAAAAAAACGCTAAAAAGGTGGGCGTGGTGCAGAGCGGATGAGGGGAGACAGACAGCACACACAGCTTCGTGTTCAGACAGTTTCATTTCACTCCCATCAAGTTAAAAACACAAATAAATGCACAGCCATTTGCACGAAAACATATATATGAATGCGCTGTTGCACCACTGAGAACTTTTAAGGCTTATTCTGTGGTGTTTATATAAGCCTTTTGACGGGTTGTGTGTCACAGAGCTGTAAAAACGGTTATGCTCACCAAGTGAATGAATCGCGTTTGTGCCGAACTCTTATTACAAAGCAAAAACAAACACTCTTCTTTGATCCAAGACCATTTCTCTCAGTTAACATGCGCAATGTCATCTCACAGTCTGAAACGTCTGTCATAGCAAATCAACACATGCTGTTGTGAATAATTAAGCGAAGCGTCTTCTCATAGGATAAGAACACGCAGTCTCATGAATAATTATGAGACACTGACATGTCATCGAAATACTATAGTCCTTTGCCACTGTGACATCAACACGATGTCGATTTTAAACCCGGAAGACAAAAATAGCACCAAAAACCTTAAAAATTAACCAGTTTTCTCCAACAGTTAAAATTATCGGATGCTAACATTGTCTTCTATGATGTGCAACACAAACACCTCTGCTAAAATCTCAGAAAAAGTAGTCTGGGGTTTCATGACCCTTTAATGGTAGGTGATCATTGTGTTAATCACATGGAGGTGGACAAATTGTCGATGGCTGAGTCTCTGGTTTTGTAGATGTGATTCAAATTACCACAGAAGAGGATTTTTAAAAATAACCATTGTGTTCAAGACCCCAAGAAATTATTCTGAAGTGAGAAAAGAAGCAATTTTCTTTCCTGTGTTCCCATACAGTACTGTTCAAAAATTTGGGGCAGTTAGATTTTTTTTGAAAGAAGTCTTTTATGCTCATTACTGCTGATTTTATTTGATAAAAAATACAGTAAAAACAGTAATATTGTGATATATTATTACAATTTAAAATACATATTTTCTATTTTAATATATTTAAAAATTTAATTTATTCCTGTTTGAAAGTTGAATTTTCAGCATCATTGCTCCAGTCTTCAGTGTCACATGATCCTTCAGAAATCATTCTAATATGCTGATTTGGTGCTCCAAATTATTATTATTATTATTATCAATATTAAAAAACATTGCTGCATAATATTTTTGTGGAAATACATGTACTGTGATACATTTGTTTACAGGATTTCTTTTTAATGAATAGAAAGTTCCAAAGAACAATATTTATATAAAATAGAAATTTTTTGTAACATTATAAATGCCTTTAAAACATATTTTGCTAGACTGTAATGCTTCTACTCCTGTGAGAACCCTGTTTTATTATTGATACTTTTGAAAAGTTTTTTAATCAAGTAAATCTAAATCTTAAACATCTTATATAGTTTTAATTTTGAATAACTAAACCTGGCTCAAACCATGAACAAGGAAATTAAAAATAAATAAATAAATGTCTTTACTGTCACGTTTGGTCAATAAAATGCATCTTTGTTGAATAAAGGTATTCATTTCTTTAAAAAAAAAAACATACTGACCCCAAACTTAGTGTATTTGCTTTTAAAACAAGCGGTTGGAACAGGACTTCAGAAACAAAATGAAATCAATTTGAAATCAATTGTAGGTGGTATTTATTATTTAAGGCTAGTGTATATTCTCTGCACAGTTTAAATGCTTATATCAAAGTTTCATTTGTCAACATTTGGAGTGCACTAGCATATAAATGGCCACAAAACTCCATTTTTGATTTCATCTGCTCTTTAAAACAGTTATTTACTAATGATTAGTCTGTGCTTGTTTGACCCAGTGATATACCGGTCAATCAACTGTTTGGCTTTGTTGAATTGGCCTATTAATTGATTAATATGATTTCTTTTATTTTTGGTAATCGTAACAGACCACATCCATCTGATGCTTTTATTAAAATGCTAAAATTAAGTCTAACCCTGAAGCACAAACAAACACAGATGCTGTTATTGGTTGATTGCTGCTGTAATGTGCTTAGTGTATTGCGTTTTTAGAGGATTACCTCAGTTATCTGCCCACACACTTCCTTTTTCCTTTGAGTTGGACTCTTGGATGAAGATAAGCAACAAACTGAGAGTGCACATCTGCATATTCAGAAATTTGAAAAAAATAAACACATCTGAAATGCAGCCTGCTCCATCAGTCAGCTCATGTGTCTCCAGCACACACACACACACCCTCACGGCTGCTGCTGTCATCACCGTCGCACATAGCAGCTACCCACACAATGTACCCGTTCATCATACAGACCTGTATTTTAAAGGAATAGTTCAAAAATTTAAAAAACATAAACATTCTGTCATTATTTACCCACCCCCATGTAATTTCAAACCTGTATGCTGTTTCTCTTCAGTGGTACACAGAAGTATATATTTTTGTTATATATCGCTATGCCACTTTTGCCTTACAGCAGCAGTTCATAGTGACCAGAGGCTGTCAAGCTCAAGAAATGACAAAAAGCACATAACACACCAAAAACAATAGTCAATATGACTATTCATGGTCTTTTGAAGCCATATAGCGCATAAGCCTTAAGGATAATTTTATGATGCTTTTTTTGGTGGGTTTTTGAAGCTTGCATCACTATGAACTGTTGCTGTATGGCAGAACGTGAGGCTGAGTAAATAATTACAGAATTTAAATGTTTGAGTAAACTATTTATTTTTTTATTTTAAGCACATGAAGACAGTTTATTTATATTTTCTATATTTATTTATTCTACATTTCCTATATTTGCTTTATTTACTTGCTTTATTCATGTTTTTATTGTATTAATATTTAGTCTTATTTATTTACTTGCTTACATTATTTATTTTGGTTATTTAAATATTGAAACTTTTGTCACTTTAAATCCACGTTTATGATATTTATGGTAAAAGGTATTTTTACCAAAGGATATTAGGTATTAATAACAAAAGCGACCAAATCTGAGCTTCTTGTGGCAATAACCTCAGCATTTTAATATATTTTTAGCCTTTTGCTGATTTTATTGATTGGAGAGTAAAGAGAAGACATGAAATATTAACATCTTTACTTAACTTTTACTTTGCCTGTGTGAGAACTGGCATAACTTCATCATTTCAGCATTATGTAGACTTCATTTAGAGCTCATCAAGCACTAAGTGGCACAATTGTTTTCAGCAAGATCTGTTCTTTCATGCATATTCATCCCATAAAATCCAGCAATAAGCAGAGATTTTGTACATATGCTGATTGTAACGTGGAAAACTGGAGTGTTACGGCTTTGCTATGCGCAGTGCTTACAAGGTTCACGAAAGAGCCTAGATGAAAGCTGGTAAGATGAATTTCCTTTCACTGAGTTATGTTTTCCCTCCTGGTAAAATATACAGTAATCAAACCCATAGGAGCTGAGAAATGTACAGTCAGACTTGAGAGAGCTGAGAAGGAGGGATGAAAGAAAACACAGCACATGTTGTCACGCAGAAGTGATTTATAATGTATGAGAAACACTCCACCTGTATTCTTGTTAGGGTATGAGAGCTTTATATCTCGCATCCCAATATGTCATTGGCTACATTTGGAATAGCATACTACCACAGTACTATTTATGCTGTATATAGTTTGTAAACGGTGCATGAGTATGATTTTAAGAACCAAATGACCTCTTACATTGGCTAAAACATGCAACATATAACCAGAACGCACCGAATCCCACAATGTAATGCTCTTGATTTGACCTTCTATTTCCAGTTTGTTGAGAAATCCCAGAAGTAACATAAAAAAGTAACTTTAATGTCATTATCCAAGACATTTTTATGCAATATTGGGTTAAAAATGCAACTTAACTGTGGTTATATGACCTCAAACAAAAACATTGTTGCACACTACTGTTTGGATCATGTATATGTGTTTTCTTTCACTGTGCAGTATGCATTAGTACACTAGCATTCCATTGCAAACACTACCACATACTCAAATATAGCCCTTCTACTTCTGTCTTTCAATAAACAGATGTTTTGTATTTGTAATTTAAAAAGGGTTACATTTGTTCAATTGGATCTTACTTACTTTAGGTGGCATATTTGCATTTATTTTTCTGTTTCGAAATCGAGCAGATTCGTTTTACCTTTACAGATTGTATTCACTTCAGTGATGGATTATGGGTCCATGGTTTTTCTTGGGTAGTATCTGCTGATGTTGATTGTTTTGTTTCTTGCCTGGGCAGGAATGTTCAAGGGCTTCTTACATTGGCTAAAACATGCAACATATAACCAGAACGCACCGAATCCCACAATGTAATGCTCTTGATTTGACCTTCTATTTCCAGTTTGTTGAGAAATCCCAGAAGTAACATAAAAAAGTAACTTTAATGTCATTATCCAAGACATTTTTATGCAATATTGGGTTAAAAATGCAACTTAACTGTGGTTATATGACCTCAAACAAAAACATTGTTGCACACTACTGTTTGGATCATGTATATGTGTTTTCTTTCACTGTGCAGTATGCATTAGTACACTAGCATTCCATTGCAAACACTACCACATACTCAAATATAGCCCTTCTACTTCTGTCTTTCAATAAACAGATGTTTTGTATTTGTAATTTAAAAAGGGTTACATTTGTTCAATTGGATCTTACTTACTTTAGGTGGCATATTTGCATTTATTTTTCTGTTTCGAAATCGAGCAGATTCGTTTTACCTTTACAGATTGTATTCACTTCAGTGATGGATTATGGGTCCATGGTTTTTCTTGGGTAGTATCTGCTGATGTTGACTGTTTAGTTTCTTGCCTGGGCAGGAATGTTCAAGGGCTGATCAAAGTGGTCGGGAGGCTGCTACAGATCCAGGCAAGTCAGCGGGATAACGAAGCAAGCTTCACCTGTCCATATTCAATTAGGTGAGTGCCTTTTCCAAGTGCAACAGCTGCTGCCAGTTTTTTTTCTCAGAACTCTCACTCTTGCACATGTCTAGTCATATTGGATTTTAAACATACAAAATTATTTGCTATGGGCAACAGAATATGATGCAACACTACTCTTTTAAATATGTGTAAATGACAAAATTCTAAATAAAGACCTCTTAGGTCGAACTACTTCAAAAGTTTGGGGCTGGTATGATTTTTTTTTTTAAATGTTTTCTTTCATTAATTATTTAGTTTCACCGAAGCTGCATTTTTTAATCAAAAATCTTCTTCTTCTTTAGTGTTTGCCATTAGCGATCACTGGTGCCATTTGATCCGATCGTTGGCTTGATTATTTAAACAAAAATACAGTAACATATTTATATTGTTAAATATTACAACAAATTAAAATAACTGTTTTCTAAAGCAATATATTTTAAACTGTAATTTAATCCTGTGACGGCAAAGCTGAATTTTTTTGTTTAAGAAACATTTCTTATCATAGTTAAAAACAGTTGTGTTGATTAATGTTTTTCTGGAAACCAGGATACATTTTTAGGATTCTTTAATGAATAGAAAGTTCAAAATAAGATAATTTGAATAAAATAGAAATCTTTTGTAACGTTAATAAATGTCTTAACTGTCACTTTTGATCAATTTAATACATCCTTCTTGAATAAAAGTATTGATTCATTTTTTATTAAATCGTCCTGAGCTCAAACTTATGAGCAGTGATGTATCACAATGAGGTTACGTGACCTCTGAGAAAACACCTTAACCAAGGTTTTGTTCACATTTGAAGATTTATAGGACCACTTTGAGCTTTCTGACCATTACTTACGGCTCGCATATCAACTTTCATTTTCATACATGTTTTTTTGTTTGTTTATTTATATTAATTCATTCTGGCTTATATGACCTCTTATGATGAGTTACTTTCTAATGAATCAAATAACTAATTGTTCTCCTTCTCTCTCGAGTCCTGGTGTGAAGATGAATGGGTCGAGGGTTCTGTGCTGGCCTGGGATTGGGGCTTGGCCTTTAGCACGGGTGGGCACTGAGGGAGGGCTTGAGAATTAATGGAAGATGCCCACTGGTGCTCATTGTGTCCGTCTGCTCGATGCTCCTCTGCAATCTGCTCTGGGGTCACAAAGCCACTTACAGCAGATATCCAACAGAAGCAGAAAGGGTTAGGGTGATGTTGTGTAGGCAGTGTAGAAAAACAAATCAACTCTCTTTCCTCAGAAAAAAGACATCGATGAGAAGCTCAAACTGTAAATCTTTTTATTTGTTCTGGCACACTGTTACCTAAATGCCTACTACACAAAATTCTGCTATTCCGTAACAGTCTTTTATGCTCATCATAAAATCTGTTATTTTCTTTGTTTTATTTTTGTAATATTTTTTATATTAATTTATCCTAGCCCTTCCCCTTCAGACAGATCAAATACATATTATTCACTATGGTGCTGTATATTCAGTCCTACTTCTGTAGACTTAAACTTCCAAATTTTCCTTGACTTCTAAAGTTCTAAACGTCTCTTCTGGTTAAGCAGCCTCGTTCTAAACTTTCAGTTCAGATAAGTGAGATTGAGGTCAATGTGTCAGCCAGCCATTGTCTGGCAGATAATGTTGTGGCTGTCTGCCGAAAACCGCCTCTGATGGATGAACCCTGATAATGTGATGGCTGCACCAGTTGGCCGGGGAACAACAAGAGATAGATGAGCAAATGTTTGAACTGTAGAATGTCTGTGGAGGGAGTGAAGAGCTTTGGTGCAACTCTAACATCTGGCTGGAGGTGACCCAGACCATACATTTAAGTGTTGAAAGACTGTTTACCATGTAGAGGATCTTCAAGGTAGCTTTATAAAATATGTTCCTGTCTGACCCAGTGCCAAAGGCACACACAAACACCATGATCAGGGATTTGGATGAGTTCATTAATCTTAGGATAAAAGAGCATGTGTGTTTGTTAATATAAGGGCCTTCTTTTGTATGTTAGCATTAAGGTTAGACATTAATCACCAGCATAGAATAAGAGGGGAAGACATCTGAGCAAAAACTGCACAAAAAGGAGGCTAGTGCATTAAAGGAACAGTTCACCTAAAAATGAAAATTTGCTGAAAATTTACTCACCCTCAAGCCATCCAAGATGTAGATGACTTTGTTTCTTCTTCAGAACAGATTTGGAGAAATTTAGCATTACATCACTTGATCGCCAGTGGGTCTTGCAGTGAATTGGTGCCGTCAAAATGAGAGCTCAAATTGTTGATAAAAACATCACATTTATCCATAATTTAACTTTTGGCCAAAATACAAGTCCATATTCTGAAATGATGGTTCTTCCAGTTAAAGTGATAGTTCACCCAAAAATGAATTTCTGTCATTAATTACTCACCCTTATGTTGTTACAAACCCGTAAGACATTTGTTCATCTTCAGAACACAAACTAAGATATTTTTGATGAAATCCGAGAGATTTCTAATGGCGCTTTTCCACTGCATGGTACGGCTCGGTACGGTTCACTTTTGGGGGGTTTTCCACTGGGTACAGTACCTGGTACCTGGTACTTTTTTTAGTACCACCTCGGTTGAGGTTCCAAGTGAACCGTACCGTTACCAAAATGTGACGTGTAAACTCTGCTGATCACGGATTGGCCGGAGAGAATCGTCACTACCTGCGTCACTGAACTTGCGACACAAACGCAACAAAACCGCTAGATTTAAATCAGTACAGCCAGCGAAGGATCGAACGCAACTGTTTTGAACGAGCGCACCTTTTTTAACAACCAAAAAGTGGCTGTTTCGTTGTCTGTTGAGGAAGTACAGACGTTCCTCTCGTTGATAGCAGAGAAACGGATCCAGCGAGAGCTTGATGGGGCGGCGCGGAATGAAAAAGTTTTTCAGGAGTCGTGCGGCAGTAGAGGCGGCGCAACTATAACGACATGTGAATAATCCCGCCCACTCTAAAGCGGTACTGAACTGCAGTGGAAACGCAAACCGAGCTGAGCCGTGCTTTTTCGTACTGTACTGAGCCGTGCCGAGCCGAGTCGTACCACGCAGTGGAAAAGCGCCATAAGACAGCCCTCCATAGACAGCAAGGTGGTAGTTGCGTTGCAGTCTATGCAGGGTCAGAAAGCTCTCGGATTTCATCAAAAATAT